TTTTTTTTTTAAGCTGCTTCTTCCAGGTCTCTGTTGCACAACATTGTCAAACGGGCTTTACCATCACCATCCACAGCCTGTTCTGTCACTTCCCTGTCTGCAGTGGGCTGAGCCACCTCTAGCTCCCCCATCATCTGCTGCCTTGTGTGTGAGATGTCATTCCTCCCAACGTGCTCTGCTCCCTGGCCTCAGGGCTAAGGCCTCCCTGGGCCCAGCTGGGTAAACCTGCTCCGCCCTGCCACCTGGCAGCCCCTTTATTGGGTCCCAGAGCAGACTGGTTTTCTCTGTGAAAACAGAGACAAAGCAGGTCTGACAAGGATTCTATTGAGATTTCAGGTATGACTAAGACGTATCTATTCCCTGATACAAGGAACATGGCATAAGGTCACCAACACAGGGCCTGAATCCCAACACTACCATTTAAAAGCCATGTGAGCTTGGGATAGTCCCTCACCTCCTCTGAGGCTGTTTCCTGAAGAGAATTGGTTCTGCTTTCCTTTCAGGGAAGCTGGTTTTGTCAGCCCTAGAATCTGGTTCAATGCCAGCAGTGAGGTTGTACTTGGCAGAATTAGCTTTGTCCCCGTGTGGCTCCTCAGAGGCTAGCTCCCTCCAAAGTCCCCAGCCTCTTAGCCCCCAGAGGAGGCATGGCATCACACACCCCTAAGTCTAGTTGGCCAGCTCTAGGATAGGCACACAGGAGGCACTCAGGAAATGTTTGTTGAGGGATTGAATGGCACAGGACTAGAGCTGGGAAACTCCCTTTGTTAAAAGCACATTCTCCCCTCTGTGTTTTGCTGCACCAAACCTAGCTAAAGACCAACTCTGTTGCTTCCTCGACTGAATCTCATCCTTCCAGGATACACACATCAACCTCCAGCCCACCTCACAGGCTGCACCTCCCTGTCTGCCTCCATTCCTTTCAGAGCCCTCCAGACCCTGCCTAGGGCTTGCCTTGGCTCCCTGTCACTGAAGGGGCCTATCTCAGTGTGGCCCACACAGAAGGCCCACACAGCTCCTTCACATCCAGCTCTGCCCTTCCACAGACCACTTGCTGCCCTCTCCACCCTACACATGCACAGGCTAATGACTTTGACCAGTAGGCTGCTTGGAGAGCAGACTCCAAGGCAGCCAAAAGTCACACTGAGGAGAGCTTCTCCAGTCTCTCTCCTTTGGCTGCACTGAAGCAGCCTCTCTAGGGCCTGGGGGTGCTCAGTACTGTGTCCTGGACCTCCTGAGAAGAAGAATCAAATCCCTTTGGAACAGAGGCGATTGGCTGGGGGTGGTGGTGAGCCTTGAAGGAGAGAATATATTGGCCTAAGAAACTGAATCTGAATGAGGTAGACTCCGTCCAGAGACCTATGAAGGTCTGAGCTCTCTGACCAGCCTCTGTCCTCATAAGCAGGTATCCTGAATGTGAGCTGCACATTTTCTCTCCACCCCACACCCCCCACCCCACCCCGCTCCCACTCTATTCTATCCTTGGAGCTGCTTCTACTTCTGGGCTGTCCCCTGGGTTGTCCCTGAGCTGACAGTTTGAAGTTGTTCCTGCCCCACTCCACCCTCATCCTCTCCCTCACCCTAGGCTTAGACCCAAGGGCATCTCCCAAAGGCATCAGCTCCAGCTAGAGCCACCCCCACCTGCCCACTGAGGAAAAAGCCCTGTGGCTTCTACTGAACTTAGACAGGAGACCTCAGATTGGCTGGACACAGAGGGCCTTGGGCATCATGCCCTGAGCTACTTGGGAAACTCATGAAGGACAGGGCTACTGGGTGTGACCTCCAAGGCAGCAGGAACTGACAGCTGGCGGTTCAAACCCACCAGCCACTCCTCGGAAGGAAGGTTGGGCAATCCTACTTCCGTAGTGATACTGCCTCGGAAACCCAAGGAGGGGTCACTATGAGTCGGGGCGACTCGACGGCACATAACAACAACAACAACAACAACTGTCCCCTTACACTCTTCCTGTCTTTCTCTGGGCCAGTGAGCTAATTACTCCCATAACAGTTATAATGTCGATGTTGTTGTTATGTGCCGTTGAGTCGGACCTGACTCATAGCGACCCCTCCTTGGGTTTCCGAGGCAGTATCACTATGGAAGTAGATTGCCCCATCTTCCTTCAGAGGAGTGGCTGGTGGGTTTGAACTGCCAGCCTTCTGATTAGCAGTCAAGTACCTTAGGCACTATGCTACCAGATATGCCAGGCTCTGTGCTGGGTGCTGGGGAAACAAAAAATTAAAAGCAACACACCCTTGCCCTTAAGGGATGCCTCAGTCCCAGCCCTGGGCAGTCACAGGCCTTGGCATATGGAGGACACTCAGTACATATTTGTTGAATGAATGAAGAATGCATGAAATGAGTAGTCTGATTATACTGAGCAGCACAGATGCCTAGTAGGGTGTGCACTGAATATATGAAGGCCACTAGAGCAGAGGTGAGGCATGACCTGGTCACACCCCTCTGCCCTACCTTGGAGACAGCTCCCAAACCCTGTGACCAACCCGTGGCTTGGTGCCCCAGCACAAAATGTAACAAGAAACACAACAATCCCCCGAGACCCTGCAAGACAAGGCCATAAAGGAGAAAGGGAAATTCTGAGGACTTCTTAGAGGAAGTACTGGGGAGGAGCTAAGAAGCCATAAAACCAGCACTTCGTCTGACTTGCGGTCTAGAACCCAGGGTACTCATAAGTGGGCCAACAGTGTGGCCCATACAAGGGTCTGTCCCTAGCCCCTCAGAGCACAGCATGGTCCAGGCCTCTGTCCTGTGGGAGGGTGCAGGCAAGAATGGATCTCTGATGTTCTCTATCCAGTCAGGGATGTCATCAAGGGCCCACAGTGGGGGATGGTGAGATGGACCTTGCACAGCCCACATTCCCCCAAGCTGGTCTATAAACTGCGTAATGAAATGGAAATGTTTACATATCAGATTCTAGAAATGTCGCTCTTCATCCCACCAACATCTTCAGACCTGTGAGGGAAGTCTCCAAAGGATTACAATGCCCAGAGCCTAAGGGGCCAGGCAGATCATATTCAGGAGGACCACTTCTGGAAGAGGGTGACATGGTCCCCTCTACATAGAAGTAAACAGGAAGACAAGAAGGGAATTTTAGGATGGGACAGATTTTGGCAATACTGGGGGTGGGGGTGGGGTGTAAATTGGGAGAAGGAAGCAATGTCTGATGGGATGTGTCAGGAAACCACTATGGAGGCTTCCACAGATTCTTGAGGACCTCTCTTCCCCAGCAAATCTCTGCACTATTTACATCCATTATGACTCTTGATTGGAAGGAAGATGGGGCAATCTACTTCCATAGTGATACTGCCTCGGAAACCCAAGGAGGGGTCGCTATGAGTCGGTTCCGACTCAATGGCACATAACAACAACAACAACAATGACTCTTGAAGTCCGGATTAGGTATCTGACCACTGGCCAATTATGTACTCAACCACAGGGATAGGCAGTGATAAGTGATGGCTGCACCCCACCCTCTTTCAGTGGAGCCCCAGTTCCATGAAGTTTCTGACCAAGTCTTCTGCTGGCCTTTAGACTTCTGTCCATATGGGGCCCTAGTCTGCATAGGGCTGAGCAAACATTCTCCACCACATAGAACAGAGACAAATGGCCCACATTCTGTGAATCCGGATAAATATACTCCCCCCTCCCACACACACACATACACACCAGTCACATTGTTTCTCTCTCAGCAGCATCCCACATTCCACCCTGGAGGGCCTCCCCTTTTCTAGTCCCATTGCCCTGAGTTTGCACCCCTCAAATGACACTTCCCCCTGGGGAGTGTTAGAGACCCTATGGGTCCATCTCTTCCACAGCCTATGAGTGTCCTGAGGGCAGGGTCCTTACCAGAGCTTGGTCAAGGGGGCACACAAAGTTGTCAAGAATCTTTACTAAATTAGTGGCCTACTCAGGGCATGGAGAAGCAGTGTCACTCTGATGTAGCCACATGGGAGGTGTTCAGAAGAGGCAGAGTGTGGCAGGTGGGGCTCTGGGCCAGCTTTTGGCATCTGCCCAAGCTGTTCAAGGACCTCCCTGGAGGCAGTGGTTGAGAATGGAGAGAAGACCAAGAAAAGGTCTGTGTGTGCTTCACTCCTCTCCACTGTGGCGCAGCCACAACTCCAGCCACCAAAGCTACTCCTTTCTCAAGAAGCCTGGGGAAACAAAGCTCCTTGCAAAGGAGGAGGGGGACAGGCTGTGAATGACTAGAGCTGGAAAAAGGAGTGGCAAGAAGTCCTAAGCGTCCTGGGAAATCAAAACACCTGCAAGGGCAAAGCACCTTGCTTCTAGACTCACTTCTGACCCTGTAGCGGTCACCTCCTACAGGCAGCCTTTCTGGCCTCCTCAAACTAGGTTTGGTGCCTTTCTTCCCTACTCCTAGACTTGGCACTGCTTGCTATTGTTCTGTATCGCCGGTTCAGGCCTGCTCAGGCCCAGGGCTCTGAGAAAGGTGCTGGGAGTTCAGAGGACTCCTCACACCGAGGGGTAGACCCGCAGGTTTGCCTGCCAGAAGTTTCAGGGGTTTTCTAGCAAGGCGCAGACCCATCCCCCATCTGGGCCACCTCCATCCCTCCCCGGGCTGGGGTGCCGCCCCGTACAAGCAACTTCAAAGAGTCTGCCTGAGTTTCCGCAGTTGGGCTCCGGTCCGCGGCCCGGAGAGCGCAGACCCGGGCCAGATCCGGGACGTCGGGCTACCCCAGCCCTGGGGTCTCCGGGAATCGTGTATGGGTGCCGGACTCCAGGC